ATTTTTAAATAAGGAAAAAAAATTGAGGGCTGCACTAACCTTATTGGAATTTAGATACTATAAATCTAAAGTAATTAAAAAAGAGGTCTAGGGTTTGCTATACAAAACTGTGTAACATAGGGAGCCAGAAATCCTATCTAATAAAGAGGGAATATGCTAATTGACCCTCACGCCATCACAAAGATGGCATCGCCCACAGCCAATAAGGAGGGAATATGCTAATTGACTGCCATGTCCTCAAAGATGGCAGTGCCCAGTCCTCTAAGCCCCACCGGGGCGGCAGGCGTGCGGCAAGGCCAGAGTCCCCCAGTCCCCTCAGCCCCCAAGCCACCCAGGACCAGCCTGAGGTGCAGGCAAGCCTCGGATGGCGGCTGCCCAGCCTCCCAGGGCTGCCTGAGGCTCAGGTAACCAGGGCCGGCCAAGGCTTGTGCTGCTGGCAGTGGCAGCAGCAGAGGTGTGATGGGGCGTCACCTTCACCTGATCGCCGGGTCACCTCCTGCCCCTGAGGGCTCCTGGACTGTGAGAGGGGGCAGTCCGGGCTGAGGGACCCCCCTCCAGTGCATGAATTTTCATGCACCGGGCCTCTAGTGTATATATATAAAAGCCTAAGCAACCAGCCGACCGGCCAGTAGCTATGATGCGCAATGACCACTAGAGGGCAGACACTCAACGCACAGGCATGGAAACATGGAACAGATTGATGAATCGAAGAGGGAAGAGGGAAGGGGGGGAGGGTGGGAAGATATTAACCAAAGATGTTATATGCATACTAGAGGCCTGGTTCACCGGTGGGGTCCCTCGGCTTGGCCTGCGGGGATCAGGCCGAAACCGGCTCTCCAACATCCCCCAAGGGGTCCTGGATTGCAAGAGGGCGCAGGCCAGGCTGAGGGACCCCACCGGTGCATGAATCCATGCACCGGACCTCTAGTAATACTTATAAGTGTGGGAGTGGTTTTTCAAGTTACTGGAGAAAAGATGAGAAACAAGCACTCTCATATTGACAATGGGAGGATAAATTTTAGTAACTTTTTTGAAAGGCAATTTGATAGCTGTTACATTTCAAATATAAGAATACTTTGGTCTAGCAGTTTTGCCTTTAGGAATTGGTACCAAATATTTCTTTAATGACACATTTTGTCTAATTCATAATTGTGATGATAAATCAGACTTCTCGGTACTGTTTCATTAGGAATCATTTTTGCAAATTGTATGTCACAGCCCCTTCCCTCCTTTCTCCTGCTTTCAAGAGCTTATGGCCCCTAAAATTGGTATAGCTTGAAGAGATAATTAGTGACAAAGTGAGTTTTTTAGGTGGCACAACCAAGATCAGTTGTAGAGAAATAACTGCAAATACTGCCTTTGAGCCATTTTTCTCCCCCTTTTCAAACTTCTTTTCATGCTTCCTTGGGTGGAATTTTTGGCATGCAAACTTAAAATTTTGTTATGTCTAATACAGTAAAAAGATAGTATCCTTTAGGTTTGGAATAAAAAAAACCTGGTTTCTAGTGCCAGTTCTTCCACTGACAAGCTCTGAGATTTTGGGAGAAGCAAAATTACCCTTATAAACTTTGTTTCAGAGCCAAGCATCTTAACCTGTTTAGTACCTGTCTTTCCACTTCAGTTCTTCCAGTTCATTCCTTAACCCATTGCAAACTAGATTTTACCCTGCCACATCTCTACTCAAGCAGCAAACACCTCCTAACTTCAAAATTCAGAGTACATTTTCCTCCCTTTTTTATTTGGCCCTGCTGTTTCTCCCTTTTTAAAAATTATTATTAATTTTCTGAGTAAATTATATATAAATATATAAATACTAGAGGCCCGGTGCACAAAAATTTGTGCACTCGGGGGGCGGGGGGAGGG